ACTGCTGCCGACATTGGAAGGGTCACAGGTCAAAGTCAATGGAGCAAGGGCAGAATTTTAGACATTTTCTGAGACATTGCGTTCTCGACGGAGCGATTGGAAAAACTTTTTTGTTTCAGCGGTGACCTATTCATTTTTATGGCTTTATTGGAAAGGACCATGAATTCTGCTTTCCACTGACGTAGCGAAGAGTAAGGTCTGATAACCTTTTGACCCTCAAGAGGAGGGTTAAACATTGGGATTGTTGCTGGGTTAACACATGGACGGTGAACTGCTTTTGCTATTAAGAGCCTCCTCCCCCCACCCTCCCCCTTCTCCCTTCCCCCACCTCCCCCACCCCTCCCCCACCCCCTCCCCCACCTCCATCTGCGATAGTGGGTCTACCGCCTGTCTGGGCCTTGCCGTCCGTCTGGCTGTCCTAACAATTTGATGTGTACGCAACTGCCCGTGTATACATATCTGCGCCTAACAAACGTGGCTACTGACGCACGACTGAAATTTTACGTTCTATATCGTAGCAAAGACTCAGATGAGCCCAAGATGCTCTCCGCTTTGTTTTATTTCAGTTATACTGTCATCTGTTGTACACGGAATTACTCCAATTCAGCTTTGACAGGTAAATGTGCATATGATACAATCTTGCAGATATATGAGTGTTCTTGTTGATAATGCAGGTGGATAAGTAAGCCGCCATATTTTTCGCATACAGATATTTTTGCGATCAGACTTGACGGCAATTTCAGGGTGATTGGTTAATAGATATTTCTCGCCGCGGTCAGTGGATGCCGAATCAGCGGAAGACGAGTGTTGTTATTTTTGCGTGTTGCTTATTTCGCGGTCGGAGACGCTCCTGTTCGCGAAATTCGCCGAAAATTAAACCACTGCGAAGATATACAGCGTATCCAGTGTTCAAGGAGCGTTGTTTGTTGCTATATTTGGCAAATAAATATCTTTATTATTCATGACAATTATTCTACAATCTCATACTTCAGGAGTGATCATATTGATACCACTCCTGATACTATGTTATGGATTGGCCACAATATAATAGGCCGGTTGTGTGTATATCATTTTTTTTTTTTTTTTAGCTAATATGCCTTTTATGGTGACATTAAAAATAAAAGTATAAGTAACTTATTTTCATTGGTACAGGCACATACAGAATAACATGAGCTCTTGAAATGGCTCTTAAACCAATATCAAACAAATGTATGATAACAAATGTACATGATATTTGATAAACAGAATATATGGTTATAGTTAGACATATAGAGCAGGGTGGCAGAAATTAACCGGGTCCGAGTCAAATACTCTCTGATTTATTTGCCAGACTCCCTGATTTTGACATATGCAAGCGTCCGTATAACTCCTGAAAATTCTGGCCATACAACTAGTTCATTCCTGAGCACGGCCTCGCGGAATTACCGTATTTTTTTAGCAAATGTCAAAGAAAATTTGGCAGACGTGCAACCACATGAATTTTCAATAAGCAATGTATGCGTTATTGTTTAAAATATCTTATATTTGAACTTCAGACTGCGGACTCCTCATTTTGCCGCGGGACTCCCTTGTTCAGAAGTTAATTTCTACCCCTGTAGAGCATAGAGAATATAGAGTACGGTATAGAGTATAGACCAGGGTTCTCCAAGAGCCCTTATAGCCTGGCAGCCCGCCAGGCTATCGTCGAGCCCCGCCATCCTAAAATGCACCCGCCACTCTAAATATCATAGCCGCCATGCTAAATATCATAGCCCCCGGACCCCCCTAGCACGCAAACCGCCTTCGGCGATTTGCAACTAGGACCGTAAAGGCAGCACCCGCCATGCTATAATGAAAAAGCTTGGAGAACCCTGTAGACATCTTTTAGTTATTCCCATTGCATGCAGTAAATCCGCCCCCCAAAAAAAGCAGTAAAAGAATTCGTTTTTATTCACTCTTGCGTGTATGATGTTTCTTGTTCCAGCCTTTATATCTGTGGCAATATGGAGGCTGCTTCTGTCATGGATGTGATTTCCCAGAAGCAGGCATTCATCATCTGTACAGCTAGCTTCGCATTTTGCCTGCTTCTTCAGTATGTGGTTAACCCTATGCTAACGTCAGCATTTATGCCAAAGTATAAGCTGCTATGCTATTCTGACAAGCTTGACTGGAATTCTAGGTAAGCTACTATATATAGCATATTTACACTTGCATGAGTTCAGCCAATCTTATCTGATACCTATATCCAGCATTGATTTGGCAAGATATCAAAAATAGATTGAATGCCAAGATGTGTTTGGATAAGCTAGAAGTTCATGACAGTTTTCGGCTAGATCCGTGGCCCCTTGGTGCATGTAGGTACTGTTGGGACTATGAAACAAAGTTCACTCAGTCATTGAAGACTGAACTGTGATCATCTGATTAATAATGGCTTTTATAACCCAGTTTTTGGTCACAACTAAGCTCGGTGTCCCCACGATAGCTCTTACAACCTGGGATGCTGCCACCACCAACTGGGTTGATGGGTTGACTATTTTGTGCAGGAGTGTTACATGTGGAACAGGTCCCGTCTTGATTTAACTGGGAATACTCTGATTAGTAGAAATTAAATTGAAATGGGTCAAACGTTAAGGTTCTCATCAGTTCACTGGGTAGTGCAATCCAACACATGCCACCTATAAGAACTACTGGGATAAAATATGCTGATAAAATCTAGATCACTAATTGATGCTTGGAATTGGATTGCCTCATACATTTGATACTCATAACCTGTATAAAGTTCTAAAAGTCAAGAATATATTGTAATATAAACAATTTGTATCTTATATACTTATATTTATATTCTGCACATATGTCTATACATAGTATAAGTGATCGTAATTTGCACGTGTTTGTTTTTATTATAATTTTATAATAGAACAGAGTACAACTATGAACATTTTCATGGTAACATGATGTATGCACATGCGGTACATAATCTTTGTAAAATGTGGGAAATGTTGTGTGTTACAGGGTTACGTCAACCATACATGCAATAATCATCACCGTGAATTGTCTTTATGTCGTTATAGAACCAGCTGTATGGATGAATCCAGCCATGTAGGTATACTTATATGTAAATAGAATAAGTTCATGGTAAGTAAATGTGATATGAGAGAAAAAATGTGTGTGAACATTAAAATTTAAATGTGATAACTAAGTCAGTGGCGTAAGTCCTAAGCGAAGTCACTGCTGGTCGTACCTTGAGCAAGGCACTTTAATATTCTGATTTGCATTCAATCGACACCTGTTATAGAAATAGTTTTCTAGCTGGCATGATGCATACAATCTCACCCACATATAACGAGTAGCTTTGCTGGATAAAGTCTAATAATGAAACCAAAACAATACAGTTGTGGATATATCCTATGCTACATCAAATAAGCCAAAATGGCGAAAAACACTGATAGTGCATATTAACTGACGACACTGCTTTGGTATCTTTATCAATGTTACACTGTTGAGAAATTGCAACGGTGTGTTATATTAACTTTAATCATTTTCAAATCGGCAGTGATGAAACAAATCTCTTCCATTTCATCTGTTCTTCAAATGTTTTGCAGGGAGTATTCCAGAGTGCTGATCGCCATGTGTTTGATATGTATAGGATATATATTGGCAGGTGATTATTACCACTATTTTTATTGTTGGCATGTTTTAGCATATTGGTTTACATAACTCGCAGTATAAGTAAATTCTATGAGTCGGTGGCGCGCCGGAGTTGCAAATGTAGGACGACCTCATATTATAACACAAGATGAATAAATATTTAAATGGGATTGTCTAATTTTAAACTCCAAAATGTCATGCATCTTTAACTACTTTATTTAGCAAATGTTGATAGCATTTAATAATTTACTTTATAATGTTTCTGATTGCAGATACCTTAGTAATTTTTATGCATTGGCACTACATTGGCAGCATACCTTTTCTTGTTCATCATGCAGCCACTACCACTGCATGTGCTGTTACTGTGGTAAGATTTGTACTATTACATCCTTTAAAGTTGCTGTGCAATGCTGCAAGATAACCATTATGACAACCAGTATAAAACGTACCATTCCATAACCATTAAAATTTGTTGAATAAATGGATATACATTAAAAAATCATCATTATTGTATTGCTTATGTATCATCATGTAAATCATCATGTATTGCTTATATAACTACAAGAGTATTGACACAATGGAGGACTATACTCGATTCGTTTTATGTAATGAAGCTTTTGTCTATTACTTATTTTAAGTTGTCAGATACATTTCTTATTTGCGTTTAATTACAATACATCTTGCAATCTTATGGAAACGTTTATCATTTTAGATAACTAGTTGGTGGACATGGTTCACAGCACTGAGGTTACTTGCCGAGTTTTCAACAACCTTCGTGAATCTGAGGTGGGTTATATGACTGATTGTGTGCATGCATTGCAAAATTATTTCATTGCTATACATGCTACCTTGCTTCTTTTTCTGATATATTCAGCGAATTTGACAAGGTTAATTAAAAGTGTGGTAATTAAGCACATGCATATCTGCATGTATATGTAGCATCACAGAAGAGTATCACTGTCATAGTATCAAAAACGTGTGCAGTGATATATATCGCATTTTGCGGCTGATAAGGCGCCCTAACGCATTAAACACACTTTGAATTTTCAAGGTAATAATCTGAAAAAGGTAATTGGCCTAAGGGTTATACAAGGCTATACCAACTATTGTATACGCCATATTTTTCACGTACAGATATTTTCGCGAATTCAGACTTGACGAACGATTTCGCGAGTAGTTAATTTCGCGGTTGGTGAATTCCCGAATCTGAAGAATAGCATGTTGTTATTTTCGCGATCGGGGACGCGTTCGCGAAATTTACCACCGCGTAATATACAGCGTATACAGTATATGCTCTCCATAAATTAGGTTGCCTTGCTTATCTGTTTTCACCCCTCACATTCCCTTTATTTCATAATCCATCCTCGCTGTTAGCATTGGTTAATATATACTGTAGGCTATATATAGGTGTATAAGGTGTATAACATACCGTACCTTGCTTGCAAAATAGTAGCTATAATAATATTCGCTACTCTACCTTCAGCTTGTAGAATGCAAGGTCGTTTTTGGTGGCATTTTTTGAGAAAAAATTGCATCCTATAAGCTGAGAAATATGGTTGTTGATGCTTCACTATGGTCCATGAACATTATACTGCTGATAACTGATAGGTGTGGTCATCAGTTATTTATTTGATCTTGACATAATTATCGTCAATGGTTTATCTATGTTTGTTTTCTGTTTCTTTCTGCAGGTGGTTTCTACAAAAGTTGGATATACCCAAAACTTCACGTATTGCCGTTTGGAATGGTCTAACGCTTGTCGCTTCTTTCTTCGCCTGCCGTATTATGTTGATACCTGTCTACTGGTTGAGCGTCTACAATCTCATATACTCTCCAACCTGGTTGTTGCTTAACTGGTGGAAGTACTTTGGTATTGCCTGTCCGATTTTCTTGGACACTCTCAATATATACTGGTTTGGAAAGTTGGTGCGTGGTGCTGTCGAGATTCTATGGCTGCGCAAAGGAAATACCTCGCGGTACAATGCAGGTTATGCAAGCAAGTTAAAGATGTGTGAAGGAGATACTAAAAAGGATGCTTAATGTAGACCTAGTTGTTGTTTTTTTCTGCGCGAGTACCAGAACAACTGCCGTGAATGAGGTTGCTCAAACATTTATGCCTAAACTTGCGTGAATTTTTAGTAGTCTAATTATATGTAGTTCACTGAAGATATCTGATGTACAAAATAGTCATAGGAATATCGGTATTCTGAAAGAAATCTTTATGCATAAATCATTACTGGGTAATGATACATTTAAAGTCATGGAATCTATGAGGTTTATAATATTTTTATAATAAGTTGTACATATTCATGGCATCATATGTAAATTTGTTACAAGATTGGAATAGACATTAATGGTCTGATAGGTAAAATCACGAGATATAATGTTAAGTATTTTATAGTCATGTTCAGTGTACACAGGGTAGAGAAAGGGTAAAGTTGAGCACTATTATATAAATCGATTTATTTGGGAATTTTTGTAAGGTAGTCCATGTTTTCCCATGCTTCACAAAACAAGTGGTTTTTGATGAACCGATATAAATGTTTTAATGAACACAATGTGATGGTGTTTTTTTATTGTCGTATAATATCAGAATGTCTAGCATTGATCAGTGAAGAGGGTGGATTTACAAGAATTGTGGTTATTGTTCGTTTCATGTTTTGTTACTTAGATTACGTGCTTTTGAAATGGTGTGTTATAAATCAATAAATTTGTTGATGTCATTAAAATGACATTTGGTTTATGAGAATATTGATATGTTACAATAAATTTATTGTTGTATTTTTGAAACACATCTTGTTACCATTTTTCGGAATTCCAACCAGAAATAATTATTTGAAACGAAGCTCACTAAACCTGTGATTTTATATAGCATTCATAATTCAAATGTTTTGTTTGGCTGCTCATGTGGTACACACAAGTTTAATTATTCATTTGATTAATCTTTGGGAGGTTGAGGCGACAAGTGACCCATGCGTTTAACCGTGAGTGACAGTGACATCGTGCAACTAATAATCAAAGTAAATGACTTAGAGTCAACGCTAAACGCTTTGGGTCGATGCTTAGGGTTAGGTAGTGACACTTAGAGGGTGACAACAAGGAAGGTGTGGTCCATCACATAATCCGACCTGACTACTTCAAATGGTCGGAATGTCGCCGTGGGGCCGACGTCCCAATTGCAATGCACTTGGATAAGAAGAGAAATATGGCGGGCCCCTTTAAATTAGCAAGATCAGAATGTGCGATGCATGCTACCTGCCTGGCTGCCACTGAGTTTACATGTTTAACACTCGCCAACGTGCTGACGTCCCAATTGCCACGCAATAGGATAGGCAGGGAAGTAGATAGGATTTTACAATGCACATCTGTCCCCGTCCTGCCCTTGTCCATTTCCGCGAAGAAATCCCTATCCTAATGTATGGCGATAGGAACGTCGCCACGTCGGCAACATAGCACCCAAAGTAAATGACATGTTAAACATTTAATCTGGAGTGTGGCATGCCTAAAAAAGGTGCGCATCGAAACTTGCCCCCTCGCTATTTCAATGTGGAAGCACTGCTCTGCGGAAGGTCCCTTGCTATACCAATGTTCAGGGATAGAGCGCAGACACGTCAGCGACCTGTCGCCCAAAGGAAATGACGTAGGGCCGACCTTGAGCATTTAATCTGGAGTGTGGCATGCCTACAGAAGGTGCGCATCGAAAATTGTACCCTCGCTACTTCAATGTGCTGGCACTGCTCTGCGGAAGGTTCATTGCTATACCAATGTAGAGGGATAGGGCGCGGACACGTCGGCGATCCGTCGCATAGAGGAAATTACTTTGGGCCGACGTTAAGCATCTAATTTAGGTTGTGGCATGCCTAGAGAAGGTGCGCATCGAAAAATGCACCCTCGGTACTTCAATGTGCTGGCACTGCTTTGCCGAAGGTCTCTGGCAATACCAATGTACAGGGATAGGGCGCGGACACGTCGGCGAACTGTCGCGAAAGGAAATGACTTAGGGCCGAGGAGCATTTAATTTAGAATGTAGCATTTCTGTACAAGCTTTCTGCGTATTGTACAAGTGTTATGGGTGTACCAGTGTTATAGACGGTTCCTGAGACACGTCAGGGGATGCCCGACTGTGTGTATAGTCTGTATAGGCACGTGCTCGTATAGGTCGTAATGTTATAGGTCTTGCATTGTATATTGTTCTCCACCCGTTGTTTCGTTTCGTGTCTCTGTGTCTCTTGTGCGACGTAAGGCGAGTAGCGAATAACTTCACAGTAGCGATAACACGTATTTATTGTAACAGACTAGATGGTTTTATTCTACTCAGAGAATCACTAAATACAGACTATAGGTAATGTTTTACAGCACATATAAGTTCTTCTGTGACTACGTGTGAATACAACGTCTGATTGCGTGCCTATCGCTAGCTGATTCGCTTACTACGACTGACTAAAACTAACTGGCTCTGTGACACGGCACGAACTGGGATTTTTCTATCGCGCGTAAATGGTTATGGTTCAGGGTGCGTATCTCCTGACCATAGTGCTGTGGCTATGGGCGAGAGAAACTGAGCCCAGCTGTGAATAGATTTTATATCGAACTTGATATCAAACCAGGGTCACATGGCCGAAGAGCTGGCTGATGATTGGGCGCCCTTACTACGCAGTTAAAAACCAAGCGGTCACGCTGTGGCTATTCTTAACCGCGTTCAAGTTTAGCACTGATGTCATCGCGCTGAAAATATCCCACAGCTTTTTGCATAACACTGCTACACACGCCCCCTGCCAGGAAAGGTTGCTCGGCTCAACCGCCGACAACCGGTGTCTAAAGAGTTCCACGTAGTATAAGTAATAAAGTCACTGATACGTGAACTCGCACACTAACAAAAAATAACTAAAACTCGCTTTAACCAGCTTAACTAACACGATATATCATCAGGGTATTTTCTCAACTAACTTCCTTAACTAACTGCGCGTGTATACAATTTAAATCGTTTAGGCTAAATATAACGCAATAATAATCATAAGCCATGATCATCGTATGTATGGGGCGCCAAGTGTCGCATGACTGATTTCGTTACGAAATCATTGATTTCGTAACGAAATCAGAAAGAACCGAAATCAAGCTACAAAGTTGATTTTCGTGTACAAATCAAGTCTACAAAGTTTAAGTTCTTACGAAATCAAGTCTACAAAGCTAATTTCTTACGAAATCAACTACTGCGAGTCATTGCGTTACGAAATCAGCTACTGCGGGTCATTTCGTTACGAAATCATGCTACACTTGGCGCGGCCGGCGCGCCAAATGTCGCCATGACTTTATTTCGTTACAGAATCATGATTAGTCTAACGAAATCAAGTCACAAGTGATTTCGTTACGAAATCAATTACTGCTGAGTGATCGCTGCACGACAATCAGCGTAACTGCCGAGTCATTTCGCCTGACGAAATCAGCTACTGGCGAGTATCGCCTTACGAAATCATGCGCACTCTGGCGCGCGCGGCGCCGCAAAGTGTAGCATGACTTTGATTCGTTACGAAATCAGTGCTATCTGCGAGTGATTTCGTAACGAAATCTGCTCCTTGGCGCGCCGGCGCGCCTGTTCGCCATGCACTGATTTCTACGAAATCAGCTACTGCAGCGAATGATTTCGTTACGAATATGCGATTTCGTACGAATCATTGCGCACACTTGGCGTGTGGTGGTGTCGCATGACTGCATTTCGTACGAAATCAAGTCTACAAGTGATTTCGTACGAAATTCAGCTACTGCAATCGAAGTGCGATTTCGTTACGCAAATTTCATGCCTACACTTGGTGTGTGGGCGCAAGTGTCGCCATGGACTGATATCGTTACGAAGTCAAGTCTACAAAGTTGATTCGTTACGAAAATCAAGTCTACAATAATTTCGTACGAATATCAACTACTGCGCAGTATTTCGTGCACGAATTCAGCCTACTGCCAATCGCAGTTGCATTTCGCCTTACGAAATCTGCTACACTAGCGCGTTTGGAGGCCCGCAAGTGTGCGCCATGACTATTCGTACAAATCATGATTTTCGTAACGAAATCAAGTTCTGCAAAGTGATCTTCGTTACGAAAATCAAGTACTGCGAGTGATTCGTGACGAAATCGGCTACTGCGGAGTAAAGACTAACACTAATAACTTAACACTAATAAATCAATTTAGTTAAAAAAATTAATTTTTAAAANTTGGTGCGACTGTGTGGTCAATATGCAAGTGAACTTGCTTGCCTTTAAACTTGCCTTGATACCGACAACCCAGGGAGACCACCCAATACTACGACAGTTCTCTGATCTATTCACCGGAATCTGAGTTTCAGTACAGCTGAGCAACTTGGCATACTACACATCGCCAGACACGTGACAGCAAACACATGCTACAAGTCAGCCCACTGCATGGCAGATTACTATGTGATCAATGGAACTGGAGGAAATTTGTGTTTGGCGAATCATCAGTTTGCTCAACTGGAAACCCCTCGCACAAGAGTGTTTCCCTATGGAGCGGATAGACCGTTGCCCATAAAAGGTCTATTACGGAGAGCCTTGTATGTAGCACTGTCTAGAATGTTAACTGAGGCCCCTGAGTCGATGACAACAGTTACGGGAACGGATGCACGGTTTGTGCCTAAAGTCACCTGACACGTCGGTAGTTGTGTCAGCCTGGTTTGCGCAACTGACACCTGGTGGTGGTCTATGTCATCGCTAGGGAACACCGAGAAGGTGTAGTCGCAGACCCCAGTAATGATAAACCCGCACCCTCAGATTAGCAAAGCGGAGTTATAACGTCTGCATTTGCAGACTA